GTCCCTGCCCATGGCAGGGGGTGGAATGAGATGATCTTTAAGGTCCCTTCCAACCCAAACCATTCCATGATTTGATGATCTTGGACTTTGATGGAGGGACTTGATGATTCTCCACCAAAATAGACTGCACTTTGCTGTGAAGTAAATTTTGCTTCTTTTAAGTATTTTAATATCTCCTTTTAAGACAAAACACATAAGGATTTTTATCAATTCCCGCATTTTTCAAGTGACACAAGGATTTTGAAATTTTTTGGCCGGAATATACACAACTCCTGGTTTTTGAGACTGACCATAGAACAGCACGAGGGGGAGTATTTGTGGGATGTTTGATTTGTAGCACAATCACGTGCCAAAATTTATTATGGAGAATAGCAGGAGAGCCTAAGCAGAGCTGACACACGGAGCAAGGGCCTGCTGTTTGCTTTCCATCAGGAGTTTGTCTGGAATTTGCATTTTTAGACTATGCTGAAAGCTCTGTCTCTGTTTGGGGGACAAACTCAGAGGTTTGCTGAGTGGTGGCTTGGCTCCCACCCAGGAGAGCTTCGGGAAAAGGCTTTTTGAAGCCCTCCCTGCACTTCCATGGTCGGATTCTTCCCAATACAAAGATCAGCTGAACAGCAAGAGATAGGAATTGTCCACCAAGGGAAGCTACTTGTACCAGCCTCTTTCTATCCTTCCCAGAACATTCTCACTCCAGGATCCTCAACTATTGAACTCATGTGATTCTATGCATGTAGAGAGGTCCAGGTTGTGTCAGCGAGCCACTGGACAAGGATCTCTGGATCCTGGAAGGGATGAGCAGGGCTGCAGTCCAGGCTGCTCTTTCCAAAGTCTGCAGCATCCTCTGGTGGAGCCATAAGGAAGGGAGAGCCATGCAGGGAAGAGGCACAACGAGGTTTCATTTGGGGTCTGCAAAAATGCACCCCAGTTTTGCTCCAATTCCCCAGTGCCCCCATGCCAAGCAGGTGATGCTGTGTACGGAAAGCTTCCGGACACCCAGCAGCCAGCCTGGGATTTGGGGGACATTTCCATTCCTTGTTTTGCTGGAGCTGTCCTGGCTGACCCTGGGTGAGTGTCCGATGGGTCAGGAGCAGAACCTGCAGCCTGACTGGCAGAGCTGACTTCCAGCTTCTCCCCTTTTCCTGCTCTTAGTCACCACGATCAGAGCCCGAGGTATTTCTTCACTCCCAACCAAAGGAAACACTCAGATAAAATCTGAGCTCTCAGGCTGCAATTCTTTCCTGGATTTTGTTGTGTTTTGGCTTCAGGGGCAAAACAAGTTGCTTTATTATGACATTCTGGGGCCTGGAATGTTTGACTCACCACAGGGCACCCAGGTTCAGTGTCTTCCTCAGATTGAGAGGGTTTGGACACCTCTGGGCTGCCTCTCACCCATTTTCATCCCTCCTCTTGTAACTCCAAAGAAAAATTAAGTGATCTGGAGAGAGCAACTATGACACCCTTTCTCCCTCTTCCCACGCAGCAACCAGGATGCTCAAGGGAGATGTGGGGAGTGTGGAACCTTCCTTCTGTTCTAGGAAGCTCCTGAAGTGCACGAGAGCAGCCAGAACATTTGGAGAATCGAGCGAATCTCCTGAGAAACAAGATTGCTGGATGGAAGGCAGCATGAAACCCAGCCTGGAGTCACGCAGCCGCCGGCGTGCCGAAGGTGCAATTCCAGAATCCCTTCTGGGCCGCTCGGGCAAAGATTGACACGCGGATACAACCCGGCGCTGCCAACTTCTCCAGCAATTCACTCAATCCTTGTGAAAGCAAGGCTAAATTGGCCGGGAGCCTTCACTTCATCTTCCCTCCCAACTCCTCTGGGTGAGAACTGTTGAGCAGACCAGGTTTCTGATAAAGTAAAAGCAAACACCATTCCCTCGTGCTGAGATACAGGAATATTATCCTGACATTTTAGCATGGATCACTCATATTGCTGCTCGTTCTCTCCGCTCCAAGAGCTATGTCTTGACAATAGAAACATTCCCCGACTACAAACAAAATAATCAGGGTTGAAAACCAAATTCAGGGTGGAAACATTCCCTCCTCCGTGGGAGTGATCCATCAGGCTGGATTTACCTCTCAGAGTCTCTCAGCCTAAGCAAATTGAGTTTGCACAAGTTATTTTTATTTAAAATATTTTGATTTACAATATTTTTATTCTGTCTTTCCTATAGTAGTCTCATTTTCAGAGAAATGCACAAACATTTTCTAATATCAGGCCAAAAGCCTGATAATTACAGGGTCAGGGCTCAAATTTGCGTGATAGGAGTGTAAAAAAGAAAGGTAAACAGCACAGATGTCAGCCTCTTCCTGATTTATTTTTATGAAGGAATTCCTTTTACATTTCCTCGAGGAATTAAAATCGTTCAACATTTTTTTACAAGCCATTACAATTTCAAGATTAAATCTGCACTTAGTTAAAAAAAAAAAAAATGCACCCAAGGAGGAATTTATCTTGGAAACAAGACTGGTGTGTTGAAGCACTTGGCAGCCCACAGATTTGTCCCATACGTTGGCTGTTTAAAATGATTTTATGTGGTAAATAACAGGAATGTGGAATCACCAGTGGGAAATAGCAGTTTGTGCTTCTCCTAAGCCCAGGTTTACCCCTTCAGACTTAGGAGCTGGTTTCTATGAACATCTCTCTTAACACTGGCAGTGTTATCTCTCAGTATCCACAGTGGGAGAAGGCGAAGGATGTAGCTGGCACAGCAAACCGGGCTCCATTATAACTCTATTTAATTCACCTGAGGGAACGAACCCCCTGAGGCCAACTGAAATTGATTAAACACCGAGACCGGGTGCTCGGAAAGCGCGAAAACAATTTTTTTTTTTTTTTTTTTAATTTCGCGTTGATTGGGGGTGTGAGTTTTTTGCGGGTTACGCGTCGTTTCGGGGTGGGTTTTTTTGCGGGTTTAGGGTGTTTGTGGTTTTTTTTTCCCCCCAGCTTTGTTGGAACCGCCCTGCCCTCACCCAAGATGGCGGCGGGGCTGAGGCGATGAGGCGGCGGCGGCCATCTTGGTTTCGGGCGAGGGCGGCGGAGGGTAAGGGCGGCCACGGGCCGGGAGGGACCCCCGGGATGGAGCCCGGGAGCGTCGGGAAACTCCTCCGGGAGCGATCCCGGTTCCTCCTGCTGGCCGGGAGGGCGACCCCCGGGCCTCGCCGCCTCAGGGACCGGCGGGGAGCTGCCCCCCGTGCAGGCGGCAGGTGCCCCCCGCCCCGTGCCCCGAGGCGGCTCCCGCTGGTGCCAAGCGCTGGGATAAAACAATTCCCGCTCTCTGGTTTCCTTGCAGGATTTAATAAAATGAAAACGCAGAAGATGAGCGCGGCTGTGCCGGCGGCACAAGGAGGAGCAACACGGCGCGGGATCATTCCCGGAGGATGGTGAGCCTTGGTCCCGTTCCAGCCGGGAAGCGGGCGCGGCCTGGATTTCCTCGTGGGAGGAGCCTTTCCAGGGCTGTCTCGAAGGTAACCAGGCAGAAATCGAAGGGCTATGTGTTCTAAAAAAAATTAAAAAAAAAAAATAAAAAAAATCCCAAAGTTTAAGACTTTTGGAGGAATTTGGCCAGCAGCGTGCTGGAAGATGGATGGAGATTGTTGTGGAGCATAAATTGAGGTTTTTTTCTGGTGGGCAGATGGAGATACTCTAAAGGATAAATTGAACTTTTTCTGGAGTGTTAATGGGGATGCCCAGGAGGATAAAATGAGATTCTCTGGAACAGGAATGGAATTTTGTCTGGAGAATAAATGGAGGCTCTCTGGAGCGTAAATGGAGATTTTCCTGGAGGATAAATGGAGATACTGTAGAGGATAAAGGGAGATAGTGTAGAGGATAAATGGAGATGCTTTAGAGGAGAAATGGAAATTTTTCTGGGGGGCAACTGGAGATTTTTCTGGAGAATGAATGGGAATGCTTTGGAGGGTAAATGGAAATTGTCTGTGAGATAAATGGAGATTTTTCTGGGGCACCAATGGAAGTTCTCTGGAACATAAGTGGAGCTGCTCTGGATGTTCCTCAGCTTATCCAGAAGTCCCCAGACAGGCTGGAAACCTGTTACTGTTTGCTCAGTGTCCTGACCTACCTAACTTTGTGTATCTGCATCCTGTGGGAATTCCTGTGAGGAATTTTCCAGGGGATTAAGACAGTGGAGCAACTCCAGCTTTTATTTATCTCCTGGTGATACTGTTTCTTACCTGTTACCTTATTGTCTCACTGCTATAAATATATTTTTATTATCACAGTCCATTTTTAAGATTCTTCTGGTTGTTTACCAGAATTCCAGGGATTCTCATTTTGATCCCTGTTGGAGCCCTTTGTTGTTTGTGCACATGCAGCTACTGAGAGTTTAAAGGAATCCTTCCTGGGAAAGATAATAAATTAAGAAAAAACTTCCTCTTTCCCTGTCTAAAGAGAAAATTAAGATGTAATTGGAAAGACTTGAGGGAAAAGCAAGGTGGATTTATGTGGATAACAGGATTTTATTGTGGGAATATTTACTGTCTTTCCTATAAAAAACTCTTCCTTTACTGTGATAATTACCTCATGGAAAAAAATTATAAAAAATATATACAAATATAAATCTCTTCTTGGACTTTGGGAGCCACTGTTGGCCTTTATTTTTTAAAACAGTTGTACTAATTCCACTTGCACCAATTCCACTTGTACTAATTCCAGCTGCACTTATTCCAGTTCCTTATCAGGAGCTGTAATTGAATTGAAATGTGGTTTGAGTTTTGCGTCAGTTCTGGCAAAATTAAAGTGCTTTTGCAGTTAATCTGTTGGATGAATTATGTTTTCTGCAAATCTTGCACACATGCACATTTTTTAAAAGTATTTATTCGCTTACTGCCAGGCAAAAAAAAAAACTGGAAAGAAGTTACAAACAAATCCATAAAATATGGGGGAAAAAAATGTTGTTGTCATTTAAATTCTTGAAGTGAGTGTTTTGGAGACACAGAGATTCAGCAGCACTTTGGAAAACTAAAGTTTCCAAATGGGAACTAAACCCCCAAGTCTCAATTTTTATTTTTTTTTCCTGAAGGAAAAAATGGTGGGAATTGATTATTTTGTGGCATTTTTTTTTCATTGGAAAGACACTTCAGCCAACAGTTTCCAGGGTGGTTTAATCCAGAACCAGATGAACTAAGGGATGATCTTGGAATGTATCTCTCCCATCTGGCTTTGTATCAGATCCCGGTGTCAGCGGAGCTCCCGCGGGAGCGCGGATCGGGATCTTATCGCAGATGGGAATCTTACAGAGGAGCAGGAGGAAATTAGCACGTGCTGCGCTCATTGATTTCTTTAAGCTCCGCAGCCCTGGGGTCAGCACAGAAGCCAAGGATATCCTGCTGGAAAACATTAAGGGAGCAGATTAAGTGGGAGCTTTTGTGGGTTTGTGGGCCCAACCTCCGGATCCGCACTTCTTTGTGCGGCTTCCAAGTGTGCCGGAGGAGCCGTGGGGGTTGTGTGTCCACGTGGGGAATAGTTGGAAGGTGTCGAGTTGGGAGCGTTGCAAAGATCCCTGCTGGCTGTGGGAATGACACAGTAGGAGTCTGAATATGAGGAGTCCTTTCCCAATAGGATTTAGGCAACTCTGTTTTGCCCCTTTCCCCTCAGTTTCCAGCTTCTGGGAGATGGTTTAGTTGCCACGGTGGTGACCTGTCAAAGGTTGGACTCAGTGATCCTGGAGGTCTTTTCCAACCTCAGTGGTTTTATGAATCCATGTTTCATCCCATGCTTGGTTTGGCCTTTTCTTCCAGTTCCTTTTCCTAAGTAGTTCCCCTATAGGAATATTGTTGTTTTCTCTGAGGAGACATCTGGGAACTTGCTGGCAGTGGGGGAGTGAGGAGGTTGTGGATCAGCCAGGTAAGGAGGCTTGAAGATTCCATGGGTCTTCAGCCTTCCAGGGTCTGAAGGGGCCTGGTTTCTGCTGTAAATCCTTGTCACCTCTGCCGTTGGAAAGTGCTTGTGTGAGGAATGATTGATCCTTAATCCCGGCCAGTCATGTTGCTCACGTTTTCGTGCTGCGGAATATTCATTCCAAAGGGTTTTCCTCGGGGATAAATCCAAGTCTGAGGCTGAAATAAGCCATATGTGTTTGCTGATGGTGGTTGTGCTGACAGGGATAACCTTGAGGTTTTCACCGCGTCTCGCAGGGAGGAATTAGGATACGGAATTCCACCGGGCTTACTGATGTCATACTCGAATGGAAAAATGGGAAAGAGGGAGCCCATTCAAACATTTGTGTGTTTCTTCTGGCAGGATGGAGAAGAAGAAAATCCTGATGAAGTCCAAGGTCGCCGCTCCCAACCTCCTGAGGGCACTGCATTCCCTGTACCAGTTCGGGCACCTCTGTGACGTGACGGTTCTCACCCAGCACCTGGGAATTCAGGAGGAGTTCCTGGCTCACAAAGCTGTCCTGGCAGCTTCCAGCAACTACTTCAAGGGGCTTTTCCTGCACGAGGAGATGCTGGACGCCAAGACTTGCACGGTGACCCTGCAGGACATCTACACGGAAGAGTTCACCTCCTTCCTGGAGTTCGTTTACACCGCGGAAGTGGAGATCGAAGCGGAAAAACTCCAGCGGATGAAGGAAATAGCCGAGAGGCTGGAATGCAAGGATCTGCTTGACATCTGCGAAGAAGTGAAAGCAGAGGGCAGGAAGGGCTTGGATTTGAGCCTCCACCTGAAAGGACAGAGGGGCGAAAATGGTGGATCCCAGTGGCCTCACATCCAGCACGAGGAGAACCCCGGCCTGAGGAGCTCTTCCCAGGTTGTGGCGATTCCTGTGCAGAGGAAACTTTGGGACAGGCAAAAACATAAGAAGTTGCTGGCAGGCCTTGAGCTCATTGGAGGCCAAGCAGTGGGTCTGGAGCAAGAGGATGCTGGTTTTCCAGACCCCAAACCCAGGACAGCAAAGCTGCCAAAATGTAACAATCTGGATTCCACAAACGGACTCGGTGTGGATATCGTTAGTCTGGAAAACGAGGATAGTCGCTCCCTCCTAAGTCAGACTGAGGCACAGGGAGCCTGCCTTGTGATTAGGAACACTCTGCCTGAGCAGTGGGAAGACGGAAAGAGTCTAATTTCCCAGTTTTCCACCAAAACAGAACGCAGGAAGTTGCCGCGGCACACGGCGAAAATCCCAACGCCGGTGGCCTGCAGGAAGCGCGACGAATCCTTCCGCGTCCTGGAGCAGTACCGGGAGCACGTGGAGCTCCAGCACGACGCCGGCCTGGCCCTCAGGTCCCACTGCGAGAGGTGCGGGCAGCGATTCCCGGCTCCGCGGAACCTCCGGCAGCACCGCCCGTGCGGCTCCTCCGGCCACGCCAGGGTCCCACGCCGCAGGGACGCGGCCGAGCGGATCCGCAGGGCGCCCCTGGGGAAGCGGGAATGCCGGGCCTGCCCCTACTGCGACAAGGTGGTCAGCTCCAAGTGCGGCCTGTCCGTCCACATCCGGACGCACACCGGGGACAGGCCCTACAAGTGCGAGCGCTGCCCCGCCAGCTTCGCCCACAGGTCTGCCTACACCACCCACGTCAGGTACGGCACCCTCGGGAATGTGCTTCCTCTCCAGCCACAGGCATAAAGGCATTCCCAAAGTCCTCTCTGCTCTAGGTCCAGAATTCCTTGGATCTGATGCGGAGTGTGTTGAAATCGGGACAGATTTTTTTTTAGTTGGCTTCACTGAGCTTGCGGTGCAGATGACTGAGCTGAGGTCTCCCAGACAGGGAATTTCCCATTGAATTAAAGGGGATTAGCACAACCAGATCCAGGAAGCCTCAGATCTGGGTTTTTAGTAAGAATTTTTTGTCTCCATGTTGGCATTTAATCTTTGTTTCCCTTGGTTTAAGTCCATAATTTCTTATCCCATCCACCACGGCCTTGGAGGAAAATTTACAGTCCATCCTGTGTTCCCAGTCGGGTGACAAATATAGATCCTTGATGAACTGAGGCATTTTAACTGCCTTTAATTACCTGGTCCAACTCTACCCAAAATTTCCCTATTTTTGGGCTTTCCAAATACACTGTGAATTTCTTAAATGGTGCAAAGAGCAATTCGAAGGAAGTGACTCTTCCCCCAAGGCCAACATGTCTGAATTGAAGCAATTGAACAATTAATTTCAATTGAGTTTATCATTTAAACACATCGAAGTTGTGCTCTGCTGTTTGTTTATTTTAACAGGAAAATCCACGAGTCTGGGCAAGAGAGGAAGCTCCTGCCTGTCTACTGGATGGTGGTTCCACCTGCACCTGGACCAAACGCCACGAGCCGTGACAAAGATCCCGACAGAGAGCCCTGGGATGTGACATCAGAGGCCACGAGGAGTGAGGAAGAACCCGGGGGTTCATCCACTGCTGAAGCAGAACGGAGCGAGGAGCAGGAGGAGCAGAATGGGAAACACCAGGAAGCTGAAGCAAGGAGTGAAGAAGGGAATGAAGATGAAGGTGAGATGAGTGTGAAGGGCGAGGAGAAGGAGGGAGATTACGAGGCGGGATGCTCAGAAGCCGAAGGAGGTACAGCCAAAGAGGTGTGTTCCGAGGAGGATGGCGGAGACTCAAACGAGCAGGACGGCGAAGAACGCGAATCAGACCAAGAGTCTAAACTACAGAAGGTCAGCAAAAGCGGGGCCAACAAGAACCCCCCCTACGTGATCCGGTGCGAGAAGTGCCACGAGCAGTTTGTGTCCCGGAAGCGGTACGTGGATCACTGCCGGGACGTGCACCAGTGCCTGCCTGGCAAGGCGTACCGGTGCGACGTGTGCAGCAAGGGCTTCGCCAGCTACACCAGCTGGAAGGAGCACCGGGCGTGCGTCCACACGGAGGAGAGGCGCTTCTCCTGCCCCCTCTGCAACGCCACCTTCAAGCGGCAGCGGGACGTGCGCACCCACTCCGTGCGGAAGCACGAGGGCCGCGTGAAGCGGCCGCTCTGCTCCGTGTGCGGGAAGATCCTCAGCTCCCGCACGGCGCTGGTGTTCCACATGCGGACGCACACCGGGGAGAAGCCCTACGAGTGCGGCGTCTGTCACTCCAGGTTTGCGCAGCCGTCCCAGCTGAAGATCCACACCAGGTCAGCCTCCGGCCTCCCGTTCCCCCTCCCTGCACGCACGGCACCTTTTTCCTTTCCTGACTTCCCGGCTGTGAGTTGTTCTCCTTAGGGTGGGAACACCGGGATATCATTTGGATTTTAGGCTCTGTGATTAATCCTTTTACGCAAAGGCTTTGGCTCCGGGTGGTTGTTGCATTGCCTGTGGTCGGGATTTCAACACGGGATGCCCCATCCAAACTGCCAGTCATTTGGGACAGGCTCTGAAATCCAATGGGATTCACTGATGAAGAGTGAGTCAGGGACCTCAGAGACAATCTTGGAGCAAGGAATGAGTGTGGGATTTCTTTATGCAGCACAGAATCCGTGCTGCTCCTGAGGGCTCCTGCTGCACTCACTGAGTTTGACAGGATGAGTTGCTCTCTGGTGGTGTCTGTGTCAGCTGTGTCCTCTCCCAGGAGGGGGTGAATCATCCCATGGAAAATTTCCCATCTTTGTCTGAAAAGAGAGCAGAGCAGATAAGTTACAAGCCTCTTGCTTGACAGCTTGAAATTAGGAATGATTTTGGTTGGAATTCCTGTTTGGGTTGGAATAAGGGAAGTCAGCGCAGTGTAAAGACCAAATCTCATGTCCTAAAAATGGGGATATCATGCCAGGTAAGGTCCGCAGGACACGGGGGACTGGGAAGGCCCACAGGATCAGGACCTGATTTATTAATAATCCTTTGTGCTTTGCCTCCTTCAGGTCCCACACGGGGGAGAAGCCGTATATTTGTGAGGACTGTGGGGCTTCCTTTGCCGACAAAGGAAAACTCACCGGCCACAAAAGGACACACACAGGTGGGCATTAAATACTCCATGTGGTTTCTCCCGTGGTTTTCCCTTTTCACTGCTTGGGATTGCTGGTTGGGATGTGAAGAAAATGCCCTTTTTTTCTTGTGCCTCACAGAAGAGATTCCAAGTACCAAGATGGAATTAGTAGGGATAGAAGCTCTTTTAGCCTGGAGAAAAGGAGGCTCGGGGGGGACCTGCTCGCTCTCCACAACTCCCTGACAGGAGGGGGGAACCGGGGGGAATCGGGCTCTGCTCCCAGGGAACAAGGGACAGGAGGAGAGGAAATGGCCTCAAGCTGTGCCAGGTTGGACAAGAGAGGGAATTTCTTCATGGAAAGGGTGATCAGCCATTGGAACAGGATGGAGTTCCCATCCCTGGAGATGTCCAAGGAGCGATTGGATGTGGCACTCCGTCCTCTGGGCTGGGTGACAAGGTGGGGATGGGGCACAGGGTGGGTGGACTCGATGACCCTGGAGGGCTTTTCCAGCCTCAGTGATTCTGCGCTTCGAAGACCAACTTCAGAGTACAAAATCCCCGCGCGAGAATCCCGCGTGTCCCGTCTCTCTTCCCTCAGGAGAGCGCCTGTTCAAGTGCGACGTGTGCGGGAAGCACTTTGCCACCAAGGAGTACCTGAAGTGCCACAAGCGCTGCCACATGGGCGCCAAGCCCTACAAGTGTGAGGTGTGTGGGAAAACCTTCGGCCTCAGGGCCTCCCTGGCCCAGCACAGCAACGTCCACGCAGGTAATGGAACCGCCTCCTGGCGCCGGGAAAACAAAACCGTGGCTCCCGGGGTGCTTCCCAGTTTTTGGATGGGGGCGTTTCATTCCACAGCTCCCTGAATTAGGTGATCACAGAGGTTGGGAAAGACCTCCAGGATCATCGAGTCAAACCTGTGAGTGATCACCACCTTGTCACTAGAGCAGAGCACTGAGTGCCACGTCCAGGCCTTCCCTGAACACCTCCAGGGATGGGGACTCCGCGCTGCTGGAAGCAGGGCTCATCCTGATCCTGGCTCGTTAAACAGAGCACAGGAAAATCTTGTGTCGTGTCAGTGGTGCTTTCCCGGGAAACTGAGCCCTGGCTTGTGCCAGGAGTGGAGAACGGCTGTAGTTCTCCTTGCAGGATCAGAGAGCTGATTTCAGGGCTTCTTGGCAGTGGAGAAATGTTTATCATGGAAGCATAAAATCCCAGACTGGGTTGGGCTGCAAGGGACCTTAAAGATGGGACACCTTCCATATCCCAGGTTGCTCCGAGCCCCGTCCAGCCTGGCCTGGAGCACTTTCAGGGATGGGGCAGCCACACCTCCTTTATCCATACTTTAAAATCCTTTTTTGTTTTTTTGTTTGTTTTTTTTTTTTTTTGATGGGGGCCAAAGACCCCCTCTCTCCTAACGCCGTGTCTCCCGGGATTGGTTGTTCCCAGAGACCCGCCCCTATTTCTGCGAGCAGTGCGGGAAGACCTTCACCCAGCAGGGCGCCCTGCGGCGGCACCAGCGCATCCACACCGGAGAGAAACCCTACAAGTGCCGGGCCTGCGAGAGGACCTTCACCGACATGTCCACGCTGCGCAGACACGTGGCGGTACGGCATCCCTCGGGATCTTCCCGGCCCTCAGGGTCACCTCGGGAGGGGGATATAAGCTCCGGCCGGGCGGAGGGTTCTGAGTTGTCAGCGTGTGGAATTCCCCTCCGACGGCGGCACAGCAGCTCCCACTGCTGGCTGCAAAATCCAGGCGTCTCCCAGCCTTAGGAAAAAAACCACCATCCCTGGAGGTGTTCAGGGAATGACCGGACATGGCATTTGGTCGTCGGCCAAAGGCTGGACTGGGTGATCTCAGAGGTCTTTTCCAGCCTAAAACATTTGAGGCAGGACTCGGGATTTTAGGTGCTTGTTATGGATTTAACTACAGAGTCCCCAGTCCTTTAATCCTCACCTTTAATCCTTAATGGTTTATACGACCCCAGGAATATGGTTTTACATATTTGAAATTATTTTAGTTACAAATCAGGTGTAATTGTTCTCCTGTCCTCTTCTCTTTTGATTTTTTTTTTTTCCCCCAGATTCACGACCGGAATGCTCACTGGAGAAGTTTCCTAATCGATCTCACCACCAAAAAGGACCATAACTGGTCCAAAATAGAGACCTTTGGGGAAGCCCATGCAGGAGGAGGATCCATCCCGGAGATTTGGTCAATGGACCAAGGGAAACTTTGTAAACCAGAAGGTACCAAAACAGCAGCACAGGTGGCACCTGGTGCTGGGGACACCGGGGACAGCAACCGCTCTCTCTTGTACTTGTAAGGTCAGTTTTGGCCCAAAAAATGTGCGGAATGGGGAAAATTATCCCTCAGAACTGGGGGAGTTATCCCCAGTGCTGCAGCTGCATTCCAGGTGGAGAAGGGGGTGTAATCCCTGCTTAGGGTATTTATTCCAGTGAAACGTTTAGAGCTGTCCCGAATTTTATTTTCCAAACCCGTGGATGCACCTCAGAACATCCCATTGGGAACGGGGGGGGGCGAGGAGAGTGTGTGTGCGTGTTTATACAGGCGCAGCGCGGTGCCGCCGCTGTAAATCACCAGTTTCTCTTTTAATAAAGCCGTCAGTGCCGCCCAGCCGCGTAACTCGTTTTCTTTCGCGCGGGCGAAACGCCTGAATTTGGGAACCACAAGGCCCGGGGGAGAGCGGCCGCGCGTTCCTAGCGACGGGCGGCGCGCCCGTGACGTCACTTCCCGCGCGCCGCGGCCGCGCTCAGGGCGGGCGGGGCCGTGGCGCGTCAGCGCTTCCGGCCGCGCCCGGGGCCGAGCGGGAGCAGCGGCCGGGAACGCACCGGGAACACGCCGGGAACGCGCCGGGAACGGTGAGTGCGGGGCTGGCACGGCGGGAGCCATGCGGGGCTGGCCCCGCCCGACTTCTTGCCCCCTCTCGTTTCTCTACCCCCCCCATTCCCCCGATTCCCCTCCACGCTCCCCCCATTTTCCTCTGTCTCCCCCCATTTCCTTTCCAACCCCTCGCAAGTCCCCCCATTCTTCCCCCCAGTCCCCCCTCCTCTTCCCCTCCCTCATTTCCTCCCCTTCTTCCCCCGCCTCCGCTGGGATGTGCTCCCAGCTTCCCCGATGATCCAGGGTCCTTTCCAAAAGGGATTGGAAGCAGGAGCTGAGGAGGCTCTCTCTGAGCAGCAGCTCCACAACTCCATCACCTGCCCCAGGCTGGGGCAGCTCCCCGGGAATCCTCTCCCCATTCCCCTTCAGGGGTTGCTGGCCGGAGCTTTTTGTCTCTTTGCAGCTGTTTTTGCCTCTGGAAAAGGGACATATTCCCACAAATGGACAGTGCTCAAGTGGGAATTAGGGGCATAGTTGTGAAATACACGATGAGTAGTTAAAACTCATTTTATTGGGGTATAAAAGTGACATTTTGGTGCCATTAGTTGTTTAGGCATTTGGTGGGTCGTCCTTAAATTCCTGGGAAGGGGAAAGAAATTCCTCAGATTCCAGCAGGAACTAAAGGGTTAAACTCAGCAGGTCGCTCAGAGCCTCTTCAAATCCAGAGAAACGTGGTTTGTTCTGGGGTCAGACATTTGGGGGAAAAAAAAACCAAAAAACCACCAATTCTTTTGCAAACCTTGGAGCAGCTTCAAACATTCCCGGGAAACACGGTGTAACCTGAGCAGTGCTGGAACGGGGATGCCCTGGGAAGGCTGGAAACAGGCCTTCAAAATGTGGGGGCTGGGAGCCCAGTTTGAGGGAGGAATTCTTAAGACAGTGAGCATTGTGAGGAAGTTTTATTGGGTTTGGGTTTTCAGTGTGTGAATGGGATTATCCATCGTGTCTGGGTCAGTGAAGCACTTGGAACTTTATCTGGGAGTGCTGTTAAGGCAGTGGTTTTTTAGGATCGCAGTTAATTTTGCTTAACTTTGTTTCATTTTACCTTTCTTTTATTGCCTGCTGAGGAGAGGAACCGTTCCTTAATTCCACGTGCCTTAACCAGAACATTCCCTTGATCCACCTCTGTTGCTCCGTCCCTGTTCCAGGTTCTAATAGTCCAGAGGGTCTCAGGTAAAATTACAGGTGGGATTTAAGCTAAAATTCACTCCGTGGTCTGGTGGAGATCAGTCCAAGTTTGGACTCACTCCCGGAGCTCTTTCCCACCCTCACTGGAACACCCAAAACCCCGGAAGTGGCTTTCATCCATTGGAAACCCCCGGGAGTTCCAATGTTGGCTAACACGGGGTGTCCTCAACAGCTTCTTGCAGGGGGAAGAAAGATGGAAAGCGCTCCGGTCCTGCTGGAGTCCAAGTCCTCTCCCATCAACCTGCTGAACGAGATGCACCAGCTGCGCCTGCTGGGCCACCTGTGCGACGTGACGGTGAGCGTGGAGTACCAGGGCGTCCGCGCAGAGTTCGTGGCCCACAAGGCCGTGCTGGCGGCCACCAGCAAGTTCTTCAAGGAGGTCTTCCTCAACGAGAAGGCCGTGGACGGGCCCCGGAGCAACGTATTCCTCAACGAGGTGCAGGTGGCGGATTTCGCCTCCTTCCTGGAGTTCGTCTACACGGCCAAGGTGGAGGTGGAGGAGGACAGGGTGCAGCGCATGCTGGAGATAGCCGAGAAGCTCAAGTGCCTGGACCTCTCAGAGACCTGCTTCCAGCTGAAGAAGCAGATGCTGGAGTCGGTGCTGCTGGAGCTGCAGAACTTCTCGGAGTCGCAGAACTCCGAGGAGGAAGGCACTGCCCACCCCAACGTCCCGCCCGAGTCCAAAGCCGTGGCAGAAGCCGAGCAGGAAACTCCGGGTTCCCCCGTAGCCAGGCCCAGCCACGGAGCGTCCCCGGAGGCGCCGGCTGCCAAATCCAAGGAGAAGACGGACAGAAAGAAGGAAATGCTGAAGGCTCCTTACGCCAAAATCCGGAGGGCGAGCGGGAGGCTGGCCGGGAGGAAGGTGTTCGTGGAAATCCCCAAGAAGAAGTACACCAGGAGGCTGAGGGAGCAGCAGAAGAACGCGGAGGTGGCCGCCGAAGACGACAAATGCCCCGAAGACGAGGAGCTGTGTGACCCGGAGGGAGAGGAGGAGCGCGGGGAGGACGCCGCCGTCAAGCCGGAGGGCGCGGGGCGCGAGGGCAGCCCCGAGGAGAACCGCCCGAAGGCCGGCGAGGACAAAAAGAAGCGGGGCAGCAACTTCAAGTGCGGCACGTGCGAGAAGGAGTTCCTGTACGAGAAGAGCTTCCTGAAGCACATCCAGCACAGCCACGGCATCGCGGCCGAGCTGGTGTTCCGGTGCGAGACGTGCGGCCAGACCTTCGCCAACCGCTGCAACCTGCGGAGCCACCAGCGGCACGTCCACAGCAGCGAGCGCCGCTTCCCCTGTGAGCTCTGCGGTAAGAAGTTCAAGAGGAAGAAGGACGTCAAGAGGCACATTCTCCAGGTTCATGAGGGTGGTGGGGAGCGCCATCAGTGCCAGCAGTGTGGAAAGGGGTTGAGCTCCAGAACCGCCCTGCGGCTCCATGAAAGGACGCACACGGGCCACAAGCCTTATGGGTGCCCGGAGTGTGAGGCTAAGTTTTCTCAGCCTTCGGCACTAAAAACCCACATGAGGTATGAACCAGCCTTCCCTGGCCTCGGGAGATCCTGGGGGGACGAGCACAAACCCCCCCAGAGCCTGTCCCCTGTTTCCCTTTTTCCCCCCTGCTTTGCCTCACTAGAAGGTCACAGGTCGAGTGCTGCTGCTGCTGCTCCTGGAGCACTTCTCCCAGGGGATGAATCAGGGCTGGAATTACTCCAGCTCACTATAGCCAAGGCAAAAAGAAGCATGGAAATATTTGGGAAAGGTTTGGCCGGGTTTTAAATGGGAAAACGCCAGGTTTGGAGGCTAAGGAGGGAAAAAACTGAGCTGGGAGTAGAAACGAGTGACAGCTCATGGGGCAAAAATCCTCTCCGAGGGGTTTAACCTGATTTTCTCTCTGAGGGGCTTTAGCCTGATTTTATCAGTTATTTTTATCTGTCCCAGGGTGATTTTATCAGGGTAAAAGTCATCTCTGAAGGGTTAAATCTCACTGTATCAGTTATTTTTTCTCTCAGGGAAGAGGTGTTTTTGTCAGGGCAAAAATTGTCTCTGAGGGGTCGAGCCTGATTTTTGTAATTTATTTTATCTGCCTCAGGGCATTTTTGTGAGGGCAAAAATAATCTCTGAGGGATTTAACCTGATTTTATCCCTTATTTTATCTGTTTCATTGCAGAGATGTTTTTATCAGGGCAAAAATCACCTCTAACAGGCTTTAACCTGATTTTATCAGTTATTTTATGTCTCATGCCGTTTTTATCAGGGCTAGAATCATCTATGAAGGCCTTGAGCCTGATTTTACCCCTTGTCTGTTTGGTGGCAGAGACGTTTTTATGAGGGGAAAAAATCATCTCTGAGGGCCAGAACCTGATTTTGTCACTTACCTGCCTTGGGGCATTTTTATTAGGGCAAAAAAAAACCTATCTGAGGGGTTTAGCTTGATTTTTATCAGTAATTTTATCTGTCTCAGGGCCTCGTTATCAGGGCAAACAAATCATCTCTGAGGGGTTGAGGCTAATTTTATCAGGGAAGAGATATTTTTATCAGGCCAAAAATCATCTATGGAGGTCTTGAGCCTGATTTCATCCCTTT